GCCCTTCCCTGTCGAAAGTGCACACACTCCATTCTCGCTTCCCCTTCGCCCCTCCTCTTCCAGGGGCGACTTCCTCCTCGCAATTTCTCACTTCTTTCCTGCGCCCCCTTTCAGTTTTTCCTTTACCCTGGTCACCCTCACCGAACCCCTCTCCCCCAACCCTCTCTGCCGCTGCTGGTGGTATTCTGATCCCCAACTCTTCGGCGCCCCTTTTGCCTTCTCCCCAAACTTGGCGCCCTNGAACTGCAGGGTCGGGCGCGCCGCGGGCGGCTGATCCCGGAGCTTCCCCGCGGCAGCGCTCGGGCGCAGGTTGCTCACTGCGGGAGCGCACTGTGCGCGGCGCAGGCGAGATGCGCGCGGTGACCGCCCGAACGCCTCCCGCACCCGGTGCGGTCATCAGCATGGCCCGTGGCGGTGCTTCCTGTACAACAGCTAGATGCAGCCTCGGGGACACCGGCACAGCTGAGGGGGTTTGGTTTGGTTTGGTTAAGGGTTGGGGGCCCTTTTAGAAGTTTGTCCTCCTGGATGCTTTGGTGTTTGGAAAAAGAGATGTACTGAGATTTGTCGGGAACTTGATTGTATTTGTAACGTAGCAAGATGATGATACATCAGAATATACGTTTCTAAACAGAGAAGGAGAGAGTCCAACGAGTAAGTCAGTCTCATCCTAAATGTCCGCTGAGACCCTGGAAGGAGGGTTTCCGCAAAGGCCACTCGTGTTATGTAAATAAAAACTGTCAATTGTATGCATTTCCCGGATGTTTAGGACTGAACCAGATACAAAGCACATTTTAAGTGTCTAGGATTTTTATTTATTTTTTAGAGGAAGGTGGGGAATGTGATATACTGTAGTCTTTGGGGATTTTTAACAATTTCGAAACCATAAGCAAGCATTTTGCAGTCTTCAGCAAGCCCTGGGCGTGTGAAACACAGTCCACTGGCATGCGGGGACTTCCCAAACGTGGTTTCCCCTCACACACACACACATCCCCTCCAGCATCCATTCCCTATGAGATCAGCCTACTTTTGTGAGATTGTTCCAGCTTTTAAAGGTTTGGCTTCCAATCCCAGCTATGACACGCAGTCACAGAGATAATAAATGAACTACTTAGCTCGCTTATACCTTAGTTTTCCTATGTATGAAGTGTAAAGATGATAAGGCCAACCCTTCAGAAAGGTGTTAAAGGCTATTGATTTGAATTTTACAATACATAGAATTTCATGAAGATATTTTTTCCCTCTTCAAGAAGCTTCCGTTAAAATATATGTGTGTGTGTGTGTGTGTGTGTGTGTGTGTGTGTGTGTGTGTGTTTATTGATTTCGGAGAGAGGAAGGGAGAGGGAGAGAGAGAGAGAGAAAAACATCAGTGATAAGAGAGAGTCACTGATCTGCAGCTTCCTGCTGGCNGGAGAGAGGAAGGGAAAGGGAGAGAGAGAGAGAGAAAAACATCAGTGATAAGAGAGAGTCACTGATCTGCAGCTTCCTGCTGGCCCCCCACTGGGGATGGAGCCAGCAACCTCACCAGGACCAGAAACCGGAGCATGACCTCCTGGTTCATAGGTCAGCCCTCAACCACGGAGCAACCCAGGCCTAGCAAGAAGCTTCCTTTAATGAAAATAATTTTCAAAGTTCTGATTCTTCATCTGTGAAATGAAGGAGCCATTATGATCTCTAAGATTCCTTGCAGTTTTACCATTCTAACATGGATCGCAAATTCCTTTACCTGTGATTGAAATCAAATATAAACTCTAAAATATTTCAGGATCAGAAAAAAAGCATTTAATACTGTGAATTGCAACTACAAGAAATATGGGTGGTAAATTTTATTGTATCTAACTATTTCCTTAAAAGTAGTTTCTGAACTTATTGACAAAAGAGTAAAGGATAGTTACTTTGATCTTAAAGACCTTTCTGCTAAATAGATCATTACCTTTAAGAAGAATGTAAATAGTAATTCGTTTTATATACATTATTAAAACCAGACAGTAACTCCCATAATGCAAGGACATTTAGGAAATGTTTACTGACAATGAGTCATACTTTATTTTGTCTGGCTCTTTACCAAAGGTATATATTTATAAATACATACATATTTCAGTAGCTACCTCCAAATAGTTGATTTTCTCTCATTTAGCAGGATGTTTCACCATAAAATTGCACTTAAAATAATTACTGTTAGCCCAACCGGCGTGGCTCAGTGGTTGAACATCAACCAGGAGGTCGCTGGTTCAATTCCTGGTCAGGGCATGTGACCAGGTTGCGGGCTCGATCCCCAGCAGGGAGTGTGCAGGAGGCAGCCCATTGATGTTGATGTTTTTCTCTCATTGATGTTTCTCTCTCTCTCCCTCACCCTTCCTCTTTCTAAAATTAATAAAATCATTTTTTTTAAAAAACAATTACTGTTAGCCCAGCCAGGCGTGGCTCAGCAGTTGAGCGTCGATCTAGGATCCAGGAGATTGGGGTTCGATTCCTGGTCAGGGCACATGCCCGGGTTGCGGGCTGCAGCCGATCAATGACTCTCTCATCATTGATGTTTCTATCTCTCTCTCTCCCTCTCCCTTTCTCTCTGAAATCAATAAAGATATATTAAAAAACAAACAAACAATTATTGTTAAATTATTCTGTATCTCTCTTCAAGAAACTATAGATACTTATTTTGAATAATAGATATCCTTGAACATTTATTTCATAGGAAGATGCTATAGTTCATGAAGATATATTCCTGTCAGTCGTAATCATTCCATTAGGAATTTGGGAAATTTTATATTTGGAGGTTTGTTAGTGATTAGATATAAACTAACAAAAAGGACCCTCCTTTAGACAGTTTGGCATGTAGCTTGAAAACATAGACAAATATGTTACAAAATAACAAAATAGTGAGCCAATAATTATAACTACAATTAGCCTTAGTTTTCTCCCCCCCCCAACTTTATTAAGATATAATAGGCAAATAAAGCCTTTGTTTTCAATCTTCAGATTAACATACCCGCAGACAATAACTACTTGCAAAAAATAAAAGGGGGAAAAAAATCAAGAAGGTTTAGAACAGCGATTTTCAACCCATGTGCCACAAGAATTTTTAAAACATGTAGTATGACTAGTCAGGGGCACAGACCTCTTTTTCCTTAGATTGTCAAAAAATAACAACAGCCAACGTAACAATAGCTGTCTGGTGTGAATGAATCAGAATTTACCTATTTTTCTTTTTGTCAGATCAACAAAAAATATATTTTTTGTACATGCTGCAGAATTTTAGTAATTAGTTTATGTGTGCCATGAGATGAAAATTTCTAGTTTAGAAAAATATATAGGTGAGCATAATGTAAGTTGTAATATAACATTCAAATGTTAAGTTTTTATTTACACTGCTTTAACGAGGATAAATGTTAAATCACTGTATTAAGGAGAGTCAAAATTACAGCACTGTCATTAAAGATGGGAATTTATTTCTCTTGTGTAGCAAACAGTCTTAGGGGAAGTGGTCCAAGTTGGTGGAGTGGCTCTCCTCCAGGCCATCATTCAGGTACCTTCCTTCTGTTTTCTGTTATCTTTAGGACATAATCATCTTCGTGGACACTGTGTTCCAGCTCAGGGGAAGGGAAAAGAAAAGATCTAAATCAGGCGGTGTTCCTTTTAAGCAAGTGAGACTGACATGGTGCAAATCACTTCAGCTCTCAATTCACTGAGAAGAAATTAATTGTAAGGTCACACTTAGACTGGGCTACCATGTGCCCAGGAAGAAGGGAAGATGGATTTGGCGTGGCAGGGATTGCAAGGAAACTAGCAATCGCCACTTTTAATTTTTAATCATCATAGTGGAAAAGGCTTAGCAAGAAGGGAAACAAGACTATTGCTTAACACAGTGTTAATAAGGATAAATATTGGAATGGCTAGAAATATGGAGAGAATCAAATGTAAGAATATAAATTTTATTTTCTTATTTTTTAAAATTTTTATTGAATTTATTGGGGTGTATATTGTATTGTGTGTTCACCACCCCAAGTCAAGTCTCCTTCTATCATCACTTATCCCCTTTCTACCCTCTTCTCCCTCCCCCCACCTCCTGTTCCCTCTGGTAATCACAATACTGTTGTCTGNTTTTCTTATTTTTTTAAATTTTTATTGAATTTATTGGGGTGTACATTGTATTGTGTGTTCACCACCCCAAGTCAAGTCTCCTTCTATCATCACTTATCCCCTTTCTACCCTCTTCTCCCTCCCCCCACCTCCTGTTCCCTCTGGTAATCACAATACTGTTGTCTGCGTCTATGAGGGGTTTTCCTTTGCTTAACCCTTCACCTTTTTCACCGAGCCCCACAACTCCCCTCCTCTCTTATAGCTCTGTCTGGTCTCTGTATCTGTGACTTTGTTTCTATTTTGTTTGTTAGTTCATTTTGTTCAGTAAATTCCACATATAAGTGAAATTATGTGGTACTTGTTTTTCTCTGCCTGGCTTATTTCACTCAGCATAATACTCCCCAGGTCCATCCATGCTGTCCCAAAAGGTAAGATTTCTTTCTTTTTTACAGCTGCGTAGTATTCCATTGTGTAAATGCACCACAGCAATTTTATCCACTCATCTGCTGATGGGCACTTGGGCTGCTTCCAAATCTTGGTTATTGTAAACAGCACTGCAATGAACATAGGGGTGCATATATTCTTTCGAATTAGTGTTTTGGGTTTCTTTGGATATATTCCCAGAAGTGGAATCGCTGGGTCACAAGGCAGTTCCATTTTTAATTTTTTGATGTAACTTCAAGTATGGAGTTACTACAAAAAACAGCGCATGAGGGCTCCCTTTTCCCCACATCCTCACCAACACTTGTTTGCTGACTTACTAGTGATAGCCGTTCTGACAGGTGTGAGGTG